TATACTTGTGCTTCTGCATATGGAAGAGAAGATGCAAAAAGAGAGTGAAAACAAAAAAGAGGGAAAGTGAAGGAAAGGACAGAGCAAGTTAACAGATGATGCTGTTACACAGGCCAGTATCATGAATAACTTACCAGTCATATTCGATGGCTCTTTTATTCTATAAATAATAACTTTTTGAGCACAGCTTGGCTGGCTCCGAGATACGGTTTTCAGCAAGCATTGTGCTTTCCTGATTCCCTGCTGGTCTGGTTGTTGTGGCTGGACTGTGCCCCAGCAGACATGTGCGTGTCGCACTGCATGGACACCATGCGCGGGGGGGCCGCAACGCCCAGTGTTTTGGGTTGGGACACCCCAGCTCTTACCACTGAGTGATGTTTTGGATAGAAGGATACCAAATCTATCTACTAGTTCGACTCAGTTGTCACAAGTGGTCATTATTAAGATGATGAGGATAAATACTAATGGGCACACAGACTGGATGTGAGAATGCTTCTTCCCATTACCTGTGGCTTGACACAAGTAACATTTTACCATCTGCAGAGGCTGTCATTTTGGCTTGTGCCTTGTTCCTCTGTGACAGCTGTCACTGAACCGTCCATGCTGGTTACTTGTTTGTAATTCCCATCACTGGGGCAGGGGCTGGGCTGAAATGGGGTCCTGAGCCACGGGCAGGGGAGAGGGGGGTCCCAGGCAAGATGGGTCACGGCCAGTAAGGCCTGTTGCTTCACCTGGGGCCCTGACAAGTGATTATTATTGCAGGAACTTCTAGCCAGTATCTCATGCTGTAGTACCAAATATCCCAGGTGCCCAAACCTGTATTGCTGCCTGAACTGTCACCTCCATGCTGGCAGTTGCTGTCGTGTGGTAGTACCTCATATTATGGAAAAAAAATAAAAAAATAAAAAAAAGGAAGGCTTATGAAGAATGAAAACCCTTGCATCGATCAATTGATTTTTCAATTGATCTGAGTGACTAAATCAATAAATATGACTCTGCTGACTGCTCAGTTTCATATCAGTGAAATCCTTGAGGCTTCCAAATTAGCTGCCACTGAACCTCCGTTCTGGCACTCAAAGCTCTGTAGGACCAAGAACTCTGGCACAGGATTAGAAACCATTTTCACAACCAGCCTCTGAGAACACAGAAGGAATAGTAACTGGAGAACACCTTCAGGAGCTTGTGAGAGTCTACTTACCAAAATATTCAAAAGTACTGTGAAAGACTTTTCTCCCATTTTGGCTAGTTTGTTAGTCCTTACACCATGGGAGTGAAGACATGGGAATGAAGGAATGAAGCTTGGCAGATGTATTTTTCTAGTTATTCAAGAAAGATACAAGAGGTCTAAGAGCTGTTTATTTATTGTTCTTTCCTAAATCTTGAACTTTGGGCTTGTCTTTATTTGATACATCCTGTTCTTCAGACTCTCCAGTGTGTCTTATTTTCCTCTAAGATCAGAAGTAACAGAGTGTACACATGAAGTGGACTAAGTCCATGAAGTCAAAAAAGACATCTCCTGGAAATCTGGACCTTCCACCTCAAGGAGCATAAGAGCTGCCATTTACTGTTGCATTTAGCAGCTCAGGATGTCCCAAAGGCATAATGGCCAAATCCTTTATTGCACAAGGAAATTGTGTGAAGGTCTGGAGGATGAACCACAATGTCACATTAAGCATATAATTTCCATAGACAACCTTTTTTTTTTTTTTTTTTCCCCATGATGATGAGTCTATTTGGTACCTCTTGCTTGCTCAGCTATCACATGGCAATGGAGTTATCTGTCATGGAATCACAAGGAAACCTTGACTCACATTAGGATTCAGGAAGACCATGGAGCTATACAGAGCATCCTGAGATCTATGATACTGATACAGGTTAGGCTTCCCACTGTAACCACTGACTTTACAGCTTATCTGGAGAACTTTAAAGACATGTTATTAGACCTTGCATACTAAGATTCTTGAAATGAGCTGTACCTACTCCTCCATATCTCTTAATTCTAGGAAATCATGTAGCTAAATGCTCAGTAATTGTCAATTGTAAATGGATTATTAGGAGCTATTGGGAAAAAAAAAAAAGAGAGAATACATGACAAACTCTTCAATATTGTATGCAGGTTTAGTCTCATTTCTAAAAATAGCATAACTGAAAGAGGTACAAGTAAGGAACAGCACAATCACCAAAGGTATGAGTAGGAGTTCACACAGTAAGTGATTAAATATACCCTGTATATAAGTATACTTGGGAAAGAGTACTAGTTAAGAACACTGAGGGAAGATAGGATGGAGACCCATAAGAAAACAAGCATTATGGTGAAGCTAAATAGGGAATGGATGTCCGCTGTCTCTTCTGCTACAAAAACTAGGAGATATTAATGAAAGCAGCAGGTCACAGGCTCAGAATTAAAAACAGTTATATGCTTTGCACATCTGTAGTGAAGGTAGAAAGCTTTAAGAGCTGTTAAATACCTAGACACAAAGGAAGTCCCTGAACTGCAAACTGCTGAACCTATCAGTGTAATCTGGAAATGTATTTGTGCCATGTTGTTAACCTTTTCTATATTGACCATTGCTGGAGATGGGTTATTTGGTTGGACAGACTCTTGGCTTGAGCCTGTATGTTCATTCTTATGCTTTCTTCTACTTTGCTGTGAAAGCATATGCTGTATTCAGGCTTGAATTATATGGGATTTTTCTGCTTATTTTCAGTCTTCTGAAGGAAAACAGGTGCTGCAAATGAGTTGTTGGAGAAGACTCTTGTATAAACTAGCAAGAGAGCTATGAATATAATAAATGTATTAGTGCACTTTTCTATCTTAACTGTTGATGTGCTAGCCAGTAAATGTCTACTGCCTCTCCACAGTCTCCATTTTGACACTCTGCAGTGATAATGAGCCGGATTTATGAGGAAATGAATCATCTAGTGTAAGAGGTGCAGATTCATGCAGAGGAGATCTAGATGAAATAATATGTCACCATTCAAAACCTGTATTTACCAATAAAAAACCTTTTTGTTTTTCCCTGAAGCCAAGTTTGATGTAAAAAATAACAGAAGAGTTCCTCTTGGATCTGAAAAGAAACACCTGTTTTGCTCCAAGAGCCTTGAATTCTTCTCAGGATCCAAAGTTAATCAGCAACAGAGATTTACTGAAGAAAAAGTTCATTTCAGTTTCTACTATGCAAGGGAGTACACAGTTTGAGGGAGTGATGTTCTGCCATTGCTGTAGTTTAGTAGTGGGTAATCCAAAACTATTTGAAATGCATTAATTCTCTAAATTACATAGCAGTTGTTCCCTGCTAGCATAAAGATAAAACAAGTTAACCTCAGTGCTCCTACTGTTCAGGGATCAAGTGCAACAGAAGGAAAGCATGGAAGCACTGGTGCTGCTGCTGCCAGCAGTATGTACTGCCTCTGCATCTGCTTGGGGAACAACTGAAGAATCCACTTCTGCAGCAAGGTGTTTACCAGAAGCACCCCTCAGAAACAGGTCTTGGCTAAAAACTGGTTTGAAGAGCTTGGAATTATCCACTTAGAATCCCCTTAGCCACAGTAGTCCCTGCACACACAGAGAAATGTCTAGAATAGGTTTCCTAATTTTTATTTTGAAAAACTTACATTTTGTCTTTTTTAAAATATTAACTTTTATTAGAAACAACAGAAATTGCTTTGTTTTTCAAGACCTCCTCAGAGTAAGTCATACTTTAACATTATGGTTCCAATACAAAATCGTGAAATTCCAAGGTAAGAAAACTATACAAAATAATATCTAGTAGGAAAATCATTCTTATTTCACTTCCATTTACTGCACTTTCAAAGTTGCAGGTTTCTATACCCAATCATGCCAGACAGTGAGAGCATATCACTTTTCATCAGTCCCCTACCTGCTAACTCATCCTCACCTTCCACTCAATTCTGCTACCATATTGTGCATTTTTCTTCCAGAGTTCTTTTTCATTCTGATGTTGAGAGTACTGCTGAACATAAGAAATGAGCATTGAGGCCATAAGTGAATTTACAACAGAAAGATAAAATGTTCCTCAAAGGGCTACCAGAAAATCATGCTTCATGTCATAAGAGGAAGGAGGGGGAGTGGCTGGATCATGCTCATAAGCAGTAATGAATACAACAGATATAAACCTCGTCAAACCAAAGCAGACTATACAAGTGATTGTGCTTATACGAACATTAAAAAATTTAAAGAACACATACCCCGACTTTTTTATCACTTTTTTGGTGGGCAGAAAGAAAATGCGTTGTTGTTGGCATTCTGGCCTTCTGAAATTCAGTTTTGTGCAATGTTGCCTGCACTGGCCTAACTTCTCGACAGGATTTTTTCTCAGTTTTCCACAGTAAACTCACTTACTAGTGGTGTTCCCTGAAATACTTCAGCACATTCCTGACAGCTTCACCAGTGTTCTAGCCAGTGTTTTATCTCTTTTAGATGCACCACCACATTTCAGCAACACCATGTTACCCAAGGTTGCAAGAAATACATATTCCCTGTCAAAAACTTCTCAGAGTCCATTTTATCTTCAAGTGAAAAATAAAGAATTTAAAGGGAAGTTGCAAACCATAACTTATCAGTCATCTGTCTTCCCTGTGCCAGGACAAACAGTATTTACTTTCATCCAGGTATGTTATTATCTGTAATTGTTAACTCTGCCAAGTTCCAAGAAATATAAATGGGATGTTTTCTACAGTTTCTAAGATAACAGCTGAAAGTATACTGTTATCTTAGCTCTTCTAATTCTCAGTTCTTGGGTTATTCACATAAAAAATATCTTCCAGTTGTTTTTAGGTGATGTTATTTCACCAGATGTCACATTTTCTTGCTTCATGGACATATTCATATAAATTCTTATAAATGTGCATGGGAGTTGAAGGAACATAAGAAAAAAATGAATACACTGTATTTTGGAAATAATTTAAACCTATTTAATAAGCATTATAATGGTAACATATACCAAATATTCTTTATCTACCAAATTTTTATCTGTAGTTTTACAGTTTAGTCTTAAAATACTACAAAAAAATTATCAAAATTTCTAAGCTTTGAAGTTGGATACCTAAAATATGTTTAATTAAACATTGAGGACACCATACTAAATATGCTGCTTTTTCATAGCTGGACCTGAAACTCCTTACGTTTCCTAAATATAAGCACTGCAAACACCTTTAAGATAGTTATTTCGGTGAAATTTGTCAAGATGATTAAATATGTTTGTACTGATCTGCCTCTGCACTTCCCTGTTTTATCAAATAGCCTGGCTCAAACATTAGATCTACAATATACTCTTGAGGAGGAAGCAGAAGTCCAGCTATTCCTTGAGGAGAGGCATCAACCAATTTAACTTCATTCCAAGCTCTGTTATACTTGCCACGAACTAAACTACAGCCAATGCCAATTCTGTCTGCTATCACCTAAAAAGGACAGAAAAAGGAGTTAATCACAGTTAATACATGTTACTTCTGTGATATACAGCTAGGCTAAAGAGATGCTTAAAAAGAAAATACCTGAAAGGCCAAGAGTTTTCTAGAAATAGATTTTGTAAATCTCTAGTGTTCCAAACTGCAAATCTTTATTATTGTTTCTGCTTAGAAAGTGTAGGGTTTTAAATGTTATTTCTGCTATATTCTATGCACAACATGAAAAATATTCATTTTAATTCTTTTCAGACATCGATACATTTGTTTATCAGCCAGTCCTTCAGATCTCAAATGAAGTGCAACACCCACAGTACCCAGCAATGTTTTTTTCTAGTTGGAAGACTTATTCCTGAATAACATTTTGAAAAACCATCTATTCAAGCAATGAGGTGTAGGTACATCGCACCCATATAGCTAGTGTGAAATATTAAGTGTAAAAATGCAGTATTTTTATCAATGTAAGTTTTAGGACTGTTGCTTCACTCCAAAGCACACTCCTTGCTTTTCAGGCCTGTGAATGTGGGAAGCAATGAAATGTGAGGCAAGCTTCTGCTAGATGAAACACCTGCCTTTCCTCCGTGCTGCGCTATCACTGACAGACATGTAATGTTTTCCAGCCACAGAACTGTTTTCTCAGAATGCAACTGCTGTGAAGGAATGAAATCCTGAAGGATTTTAAACTTGTTACAAGTGGACAAGGATATCTTTTGCTTAGACTGCTGTGGCTTTAAGAGAGATGATCCATCCCTACAAAGGTTTCTTAGGACAGTGCAGGATAAGCAAAAACCAGTGCTGCTTCAGCACAATTAATTCATGCCCTCAGACCTCCATAAAGTATGTCAGGAACCTTCTCTCCCCATGGATACCATAAATATAGGATTGTGCTCTTTCTCCTGTGTACTGTTTCCTAGGTCCTTCCCGCTTAATGTGCTAGGCCCTTACTTCTCTTTTCCTTTTCATCCAAGAAGGAGAAAGCTCCAGCTACCCAAGAGCCAAGGAAAAAAGATGGGACAGATAAGCAGGCTGTACCAGTACGTCTTCACATGAAGACAGAAGAAATTAATCTTCCCAGTCTAAGAAACTAGAACATAAAAGCTGTTATATACTATCATAGAATACTGGATAGATACCAAATAAAAATTGTCCCAACAAGTTTACATTTGCAGCATGAAAAAAAAAAAAAAAAGAAGCTGCATAATTCAATATTTTACAGTTTACAGAAAATGTAAAATGTTTTGACTCCAAATCAAATATTTTGGCTTTTTGCCATTTATCAAGTATTCTGCTGATATCACTTAAGACAATTTAATGACAACAAGAATGTTTACAGAAGGAAGCGATGCTGGCTTCCATTCACTGGGAAATCAACTTTGCCAGTGAAAAATGACTTAAGTGTATACAAAAGATTTTACATTAATATAAATATTATGTTATACTGATGCAAGTATACTTCAGTTTATAATATCAATATTTAACATCAATATGTTATGCTATAAAATAAATGTTAATGTACCTTGAAAAGTAAAGCCCTGTGGTAGAATGTCCCTTTTTTTACTTTCCCAATAGGCACAATGTTGCATTTCAGTTCAAATTCTATTTCACTTATGTGAAGTTCCCAGCTGAAGTCGTGTAATTTGTCTCTTTCAATTGGGCCACCCATCTTGTCTGCAACAAACCTGTTCCAATGTATACTGGGATCAATTACATCTATAATTTATCATTAAAAATGTAGCAAAATCAAATGTATACAAGCAATAAGAGAATGACATACAAGACTTTAATACTTTTGCTCTAGTTGCTTAATTTTTTTAAATTCAGTAATTGGTATTTTAAATATGCTCACTGGTAAATACAGATAAACATAACTCAGGTCATTCACATTTGTCACAGACCTAAACCAAGGTGCAACAGCTGTCAGCCGAGATTCTGAAGAGGTCTAGTACAGGCACAAAGTCCTCAGAGGAAATCATTAATAACAGCATAATTACTGAGGAAGAAGTTCAGAAGCTAGTCATCTTTACAGCTAACAGATTATGTGAACTATGTATTACAATCTCCAGCCCTACCAATTGTTTGAATTGTAATGAAGGCATAAGAACATATATGACAAAAATAAGGTCACAGGTAATTATCCCAACACAAGAAAACAACTATATCCATAAAGGATACCTTAACTTCTACATGTGCTTTCTCATACTGAAGTCTGTATTTGGGGGGTGAGAGGTGTGTATTTATCCATTAAAAAGCATGGCTCAGTCACAGAAATGGAAGGTCAGAACTCACAATCTGTGCAAACACTGCCAAAAGCATGTCTGTTGGCCGACTGTGCACACATGAGATTAAGCCCTGATTTGTAAGTCCCTGCCTCCTCATACACACACCTTTACCTCCCCTATGCGTTGGCCCCTGTACGTAAAGACATTTGTTTCTCAGTGTCCTCAGCCACAGGCACATATGTTGTTGAGGACTCTCACTCTGGACAAGGTGTAGCAATGCTGACGTGGGAATCACAAGCCACTGCTTCAGATAGGGAGTTAAAATCTACATCGTGTCCTCTGCTTTAACTGTGAACAGGCTCTGCCTGTGCAGTACCTGCAAGGCTACCTCAGAGGCCTTATTTCTAACAACCTAGGGCCTGGGGAGGTACTGGTTCCAACTGCATGGGCACAAGGAGTTATCACCTAGCAGGCTCGACATGGTATGCTGAAGCTGGGAATTACTGGGTGAACCTGAAGAAGCTGGGCAGTCTAGGCAGTTCCTTGTGCTGCTTGTGCCTACCGCCAGCCCAAAGCTTCTTGAGCCTCCACGCACACCACTCCTGTGTGCGCACAAAGATGTGCTGCGCTTATTTAAAAGAAGACAGCCAGCACTATCGTGTGTTCCCTCATCTACCCCAGCTCCCTCCCCGGTGAGCACAGCAGGAACTGTGCTCAAGCTGCCAGGCTGCCGAGGGCTGCGGCAGCTGCCTCCTCCTCTTTCCTACTCAACACACACTATCAGGCAGCCGCTTAAAATGGAACATACACATAAAAATCCCCACATTCTACTTAAACTTCCCGTGATTCTTTCGCTGGGTGTGTCTGCAAGTATTTCACTGGTGTGTCTGAAGAGAGGATTTGAAAGAGCATTTTATGGATTCCACCTTGAGGAAGGCAGCATGATTTATACACAGCTGGATAGTTAAGGATGAATATCCGTCCTGTCAAAATTTGCAATCAACAGAAAAGTCATTCCTCATATCACATTAGATCACTTCATTAAAAATGAGTTAGTAGAAGAAACAAATTTTGTGAGACTCAGTGGGATCTGATGCCAAACTCTCCAGATTCAGAAGGTAGCCAGGAAACTGCTAAGATAGTAAAGGTTAAACTAAGGAGAAGATGAAAGGAGACACACTGCTTGGAGATGACAGTGATTGGTGCCTAGGCTGAGTAGTCAGTGCAACTAATGAATCACACATTGATAACAACAGTCTGTACACACACCATTGCAATATCCTGGCAGTATTAAATCATCAGGATATTAATTACAGTAGCACCTAAAACTACATTAGGAAAATGTGTCATGCTTTTGGCTCTATAGGAAAACAAAATACAAGAGAGTTCCTGTCCCAAGGGTTTTCTAACTAAACCAACTAGGCAAGAAAGATTGTAAGAACAGACATGATACATCAAAGCTGCAACAGTCTCGACTATTAGGTTGGAGTTTTAGCTTGTGCATTTAGGCTCTGAAGCAGCTGGGTCTCTCCTGCTCCTTGATGATATAGATGCCATATGCAGCTGATGTGTTCATTGAAAAGGATCAGTACAGATAGATCAGTGTGAAAAAAACACTGAAATTGTCCATATATTTTCAAAATGAGAAATGTATATATCTTATTTTTAAAAAAATTAAACTAATTACAACAAAATTAGAAACAAGAAGCTTAAATTCTAGAATTATGTAAAACTTCTGGACCAAAGCAGACTTGGATTCCAATTAAGGATGGGAAAAATAACAAGTCTAGAAAAGTTGTCCTTGTATGAGAAAAAAGTTATTTTATGAATTCAACTTATATTATTTATGGAAATATAATTTGGTACTCACTGTGCAAGAGCCATAACCTGTTCCCGGGTAGTCATTAGAGGTAGAATTGTTTTGGAAGCGTCGTTAATGTAATCCAGTAAAATCAAGTCAGGTGGTGGTAGCCAATGTGAATTTTCTAGATTTATTTCATCCTGGACTTTAGATGTAATCTGAGTAACTTCTTTTGACTTTTCTTCTTCTTTTTTCCCCTTCCCTTTTCTTACACAGAAAACAATATACACTTATTTAAAATACTGTAATATCTAAAGTCCAAACTCAAATATAGTCTCCAACAGAACATTTTACACAAATTGATTTGGGGGCGGGGGGAAGGTAGGAGAAATCTTTTCTCTTGATAATGAATACTCCAAAATCTACAAAGCTGTAGAGAACACTTGTGGAGCATGCCTGCAGGAGATGGTTAGGAACCAAATGTCAGTAGCTTCATGTTAATATTGCTGTAAATTCTCATTTTATTTTTGTCTATGGCTCTGATATGCCTTTCCTATATATGGATTATCTAGGGGAGAAGACACCCATGTACATATAGGAAACATCTTTTAGACAGTTATGGTTTGGTTCCATATGGCTATGAACTAAAAATCATGAACTCCAATGAGTTTTAACTCGATAGAAATTTGGACTTCAAATAAAGGAACAAACGGGATCAAAAGCATGGCTGAAATCTGGATAGGACATGCCAAGCGGTAGTCTCTGTGGTTGCAAATCCATGGACTTCAAGCATTGTGCAAACTACAACATGGCTTGTCAGGTGAAGATTTTATAAGTCTGTGTTTTTGCTGACTTTTTTCATTGTACATGCTATGTATTTCACTAACGCTCAGGATTTGAAAAATGACTATGATCCTGAACAGGCATCATAAGCACCCAGCAGAAGTATAAATGAAATTCTTGTTCTGCTTAGATTGAATACTGTGCCTTTCACAACTTATGTAGCAACTATAAAATCAGTATCTCACCAGGGATATCATTAAGATGTATACAATCAGACAGATTAGAATTTTCATTCGTGGGAACACATAGAACTTATTTTTGTAAGCATTATATGTTTTTTCAGCATAGGGCCTGAATAATTCTACCATGAAATATTACAAAATTTCTTTCCTTTGTTTAAGAGTTCTGGTTTATTTTTAAAAATCCATAATACTTCTGGCATTCTTGGAAGGAACAAAAAAAGAAATAAAGGACTACTAGAGTATATGGCTCCAGGGCACACTATCATTATTGTATGATCCTCAAATTATTCTTAAAATTTTTACAGTGAGCAGCAGTCTTAACATAGGAGCTGTTGGACAAAGCAGAAGGGCATATACCATTACCAGTAGTCTAATTCAAGCAATTTGTCTTCAGAATACTTTGCAAACTTTTATTTTACCTATTGAGATTTATCATATTCACAAAAAGCCCTTTTCATAGGTTTGATAAAGCACATTATTTTAGAAGGATAACCAATTAAGATTTAATCTTAAAATTATAGAAAATTCAACACATTCTTAAATAAATGGTTCTGGTTATTAATTGCACTTATACTTGAAAAAAGCAGATAAAACAGTTTTCATTATCTAATTTGACTCTAACTATAGCCAGAGAACCTTCTAATGCTAGATTAAACAGTTGCACTTCTCCATTTATACACTTACACATTATGGATAAGAATACACTGTTTAAAAAACTCTGAATTATTTCCACCTCTCTAGTGTCTGACTTAGGAGGTTTTCAAAACAACAACTCCTACAAATGGTATAATTCTTGTTCCTTGACCATTTTCTTTCTTTGTCCCCTGCTCTTCCCTTCTATCCTCCCAGTACTTTTCCCTATGAAAATGTACTATGAAAATCTACTCAAATGACTCTTGAATCATTCTTATTCTCCTTCTTTCCAGTTTTCAGGAAGAAAACACCTGAGAGAAATGGGTTTGAACAGCGATCAGTTTGGGTTTTTTTTTACTGCTGTTTCTCTCAGGTATAACTATGTTCTATTCCTTGGTGGAATGGCTGCTTTAAGGTTGTCTTCCACATCTGTCTCTACCTTACTCCTGAAGTCTTCAGCTCATCATATCTGTCTAATACTCACCTCATAAGGAACCGTGGAGGTGCTGTCTTACAGCTCAGTGATGTAAAATAACCAGTCACCATTACACTAGACTTCTACTATCTTTTTCCTGTCCTTTTTAAAAAATCCCTGTTTTATTTACCAGTGGGAATTATGACATTGGAAAAAAAATCACTCCCTTTTCCCAAAGCTGTCTTATTACTCATGAGACAATCTTATGCAAATGGAGAGGAATATTGCAAAAGAGAACTTATGGCAGTTAATAGTCTCCAAGCTGTTTCTGATTCTTCTTGCAACTTCAGTACAAAAGTCCAGTGGGTCACCAGAAAGTCAGTGTGATGAAGGTGGCAGTCAATAAAATACCACCAAAAGACAACCATGACACCTATTTCTTTCATTTTTTGCATATCTGCCTTGGCTGTCTTTAGAAAAGGAGTAAATGAGCATTGGAAAGTATTTCCTTAAATGCTGTACTGGAACATATCATGGAATAAATGCAAATTTATCAGCCTACATTAAATATAATCTTTTAGCCCAGTCAGTGTGTGCATCAGATACACAACTGTTTGATCAAAAATGTTGCTATCTGTCTATACAAATATATGTCAAACTATCAACTTGGCACTTCCTCTACATCTAATTCAAACAATTCCAGCAGACAATTACAACTGTCCTTTCTCTTAGCTTTCAACTTTGGTTTATATAAAGTAGTATCACTTTTTCAAAACAATGGCTTTAAACTGTGCTCAGTAGTACTTTGCAAAATAATGATGAACAGAAACATATGATCAAAGGAAAAAATATGTAGGAAAAAGTCTAAGCATGTTTGAGACTTGGAGTCAGCTACTGACCTTCAAGTAACTCCCATATATCTCACAAATTAATAATAATAATAATGATGTATGAATTATGGATTCAGAATGAATGACAATGGGGTTATAAATCATACAACTTGATCATGACATTCAAAAGCAATTATTTCATACTTGAAGAAAGAAGTCTTTGTATTCCTGCAAGTTTACTATGAGAGATTGAGACAGGTATTTGGGTTTTCCTAAAGAAAATTTTTTGCTTTCCAAAAGAGTTATGGTTGCTAACAGAGCAGTCATTTACTATGTAATTGACATAAATTACATTAAAAAGCAACTATCCAAAGGTACCCTCATCTCACACTGTAATAAACAAACACAGTGTCTTGTCAGAACAGGTCTCTGAGCTCTGCACAGCTGCTTGAAACTATGCAAAACTGTCTATGGCTCTAAAGCATCTTTTGAGATGAAGGAATCCCCCACTGGTGCAGAGAAATCGTAACTGGGGCTCAGTATCTCCCCTTCCTTTCTGCTCCCTTTGAGTAAACTGGCATATGCGTGGTGGGTGCCCAGAGCATGCTGGGCATCAGGAGGACCTTCTAAATGAAGAGAAGCTGGAAGAGGCCTGGTAAGACACTCAAGATGCAGTATCTACTCTTTTGCATCCTGAAACAGGAACCTTCCACAATGCAATTCATATGATCCATTTTGGCTATCTACTATGGAATGATTTAACCTGAACTCCAGAAGTGCTTGCAGTCCAAATAACTAGTCAAATGTAAATGTCTGCCTTGTGAGTCAATAGCTTTTGAACAGACTAATCTCACAATTTGGGTCCTGATTTAAGTCAGAACCTCAGCTCTTCACAGTCAGTAGCTATTGTCTGTCAACAACCTGCATGTCAGTTCTAAACAAACAGATACACATATAATTCAAAGTATAATACCTTAAGCCTTTTTCACTAGTGCTGCTTTTGCTGAGCGAACACCATTGTCCAGATAACTCCTGCTTTTCCTCCACTGGAGATGCCATTGAACTACTGACATCACAAAGCAAGTTCCAAATACTGCAGATTTCATCACTCAAGCACAGGTATATACATACACAGAAATATATAATCGGTCTAAGAAATCAACCATTATTTCTATCAATAAAATGTCTGTACAGACAGTAGCATATCACAGTTCACAAATGAGCTCCAAGATAAAAATTGCAAACATAGTACTTCAGTTCCTACAACAGGCACACCATCTCTCCTTTTTTTTCCAATCCTGCAGTACTCAGCATTTTGCAATGCCCACCACTGACTAGAATTCACAGCCCCAAGGCATGGCCAAGCTCTTTATACCCTAAAACAAGGAAGATTAGGAAGTCAGGACTGGGCTCCATAGAACCCACCATGAAAAATGTTCAGCTCACTAAGGTAGCTAACAGAAAAGCCAAGGAGAGTTGCAGGTTTTACATCACGTTCCTATGAAGGACTAGATACCATCCCACTGATGGCAAGGAGGCTCTATTTGAACCAGTTTTGGAATCCTGAGCATTTCCCTGGAATTAGGCACGTACACCTGCCTTCTCTGAAGGGCACTGTTGTGGTCATGATCGTGCTGCTGTTTCATGTGAAGCACAGCTGGGGACCATGGTTCAGTTCCCTTCCACAGGAACAAAATAAGGGTTAAGTATTTTATATTAAAAGTCATCAAGACAGGACTAGAACTTTGGTCTGTACTCTCTCAGATAAGTGCCCTAACAGCATTGTAGAAAGCTCTGTTCATTATGCCTCATCGTTAGTGAACAGCTACAACAAACCAGAAAGAGATTGCTAAACCCCCAATATTTTGTGATCAGCTATCTGCATGTGGGAAGGACAAGCTCAAATCCTCTTTCTGTAAAAGAAATTAATGTCCCACTGCAAGGTTAGAGGTTCTGAGCTATTTGGTATGAGCAGACATGCCCACCAGATCAGTGCCATAGAAAGGACTGCAGGACTGTACCTATTGTATGGATCAGAGGGAGCTCTGCAAGAGCAAGGCATTTTTAGGCTTGTTGCTGTCAAAACTGGGACAGTTCTGAGCACACCCTTCTCAGCTTTTAGTCATCTATGGAATTTCTCTGGAAGAAATTTAATCTAGAAATAAGGATGCACGTAGGCAGCATAGGAACTTTTCATGGGTCTAGGTTCTAAATTGAGAAAGAACTTCTACCCTAATTTCCCTGTGTCTTGGTTGTCAAGCTGTAAAATAACAGTATTTCACTGCCTCCAAGGGATATTGAAAGGAAAAGCAGCCAATTAAATAGGAGATGTTCAAATACAGCATGGGGAGGGAGGACGAATAATTGCTAAGGTAGGCAAAGGAAGATTACTGCAATTAGGAGGTGAAAGAAAGACTTGGAAACCATATTTAACATTGTATTTGAGAATTTGTACTCTGTTAGGAAACTGTTTATGATCATTTTCAATCAGAATTCTATTTCTAATGTTAGAGCAATAACAGAACATTGACAAATAGTAAATCTTAAAACCATACCTTGCTTTTTCTCTATTGCTTTTTCTTGAAATAGAAGGTGACAAGATAGTCTGTTCATAAAATGAATCTTGTGCCTCCTTCTCTACTGTAAGACTGAAATGGAATAAGATATTTTTGCATGTTATTTGTAGAATTAGCATTTGCATGTTAAGCTATGAAAATGGAGTTCTGATTTTAAAGAACAGTAAATAAATTAATAGGGAGTATATAAGTGGAAGAAATAACATAACCACTAATAAACCAGATATTGATTTAGGGATCAAAAATTATGTATGGAATACCAAATGATGGACACAAAAGTAACTGGGGAATAAGACTGCTGCCAAGGTGCAAAGGCAAGAAGCTGTATCAAAGTCAAAGAAAGAAAACCTGATAGTTAAAGACAACTCTAGGGATCAACAAAGAGTATGTAAGTTTAATTTGTCATAGATATCCTCAGACATCTTTACAGTGTCATATACAAGCTTAAAAGGGAAGCTAATGATACTGTAAACCAAATATGTGATGTGTTGACAGAGAAGAAGGTTTTGGACTTGCAAAATATTGGTAGAGCATTCTTTGATCTGTGAGACTGTTTACAGGAAATGACTCTGAGTTAAACAAGCCCAAGACCAACTTCCTGCATTCAAATCTAAGAAGATTTGTTAGGCTGGTTTCAACTTAAACACAGAAGAAATGGACACAGGTTCTTTATCAAGCCTGAAAGCTTGATGCTTGGCTTTGTCCTGCATCTTGGGATGTTGTGCTTAAAATTCCATGCATTTGTCTGTACAAGAAGATAATCAAATCATAGGTTTCATTATTGCATGTTGACATTCATCTTAGATGACATAATTATTATTGCAGATTACAAGCTTTGTTATAACTAATAAAATACTGGGTCTCCTGCCATCAGGAATCAAAGGGTGTTAAATGAATGTTTAATGGCTAAGTTTAAAAAAAGCAACTCAGTTGGATAAAACTTCTATGTCTAGAGGGGGAAAAAAAAAAGTTATTTTCCAAATTATTTTACCAAATACAAATCTCTCGCCTTCTAGGACATGAAGCACTGTGCTGGGATTAAAACAGACCTTTCTGTTTTATATATGCGTATATATATATATATATATATCTATACTATGTAGTTTGTACTGGAAACAGTGGAAGTGATGGAAAAGATGAGCTATTGGAAAAAATGCTAGTAGATCAAACATGACTCACTCTTCTTGTGGTTTAGCATTAATGAAGATTATGGCCCGATGGTCAGTAAGCTTTTGCATACTCAATTCCTCCAAAGATAAAAATTTCACTCCAGGCTTTATCTACAAGAATATTAGCATAACAGATAAGGTGTTCTGTTCAGTTAAAGATTAAGAGAAAAAAATTTAAAGATATCTAAAGAGCAATTTAAAATTCCTCATCTTTAAAAGAAGATTTACATAAGAATTTACAGAGCCATTCAAAATATGTGCAGTTGTTTTCTTCATTTGCATTTTCTTAATCAATTTTCTTAAAAGGATTGTTTACAAATAATTTATCTTGTAGTTATTGTTACTATGTCATTCCAAACAGCTTTAGAATAAGGAAATGTTCCTGCCTCTGAAGGCTTTACCATATAGGATGGAATTTTCAAAAGCAACCATGTTCTTTAGGAGCAGGTATTTCACTGATTTTCAGTCAGACTGGTATTTCTAATTCATTTGGACATTTTGAAAAGTCCTCATTGGATTTAAACTGAACACAGCACTAACAAGCGATACTGGAGTCAGTCTTTATATATAAACACTACTTTATGAGAGAAAGGGTCATGACCAAGGTGAAAATATGAACTCTTTACTTCTTTATGTAAAAATAAACAAACAAAAAGCCCACAGGTCATTCAGTGTCAGGTTAGTATTAAGTATACTGCAGGGAAAGAGACCAGAAGAACTAAGGTCTGAGAAAGGATCTGGAAAGGAACTAGGTCTGCACAGCTTACACAGGATTGGGAAGAGGATCGCAACTGAGGGATAGCATGAAGATGATAAGATTTCATCCACGAAGAAAGATAATTGAAAAGACATTAGTATAAAATCTGGGAAACTTCAGGACAAGAAAATGAAGTACTTTATGTAGCCAGATTCTGGCTTTTTTTAAACCAAGAAGCAAATTTTACTAAGTAGAGTAATTTATTTAAAGTAGCTTACCTGACCACAATCATAGAATCCATCAGTAATGATATTACTTGATGATAAATATCCCATCTGGCTGTATTTTTGGGAAAGATTGTTATCAAGTAGCTTTTCTAGAGCAGCTTCACTAAAGTTATTTTTGCACCCTGTTGATAGATTAATTTCTTCTAGGATGTCTAAAGCACTGTTAAATAAAATACAAAGGCTAATTAATCATTAAATACCAATTAATTCTTATTATACAGTTCATGTTAGTTTTCAGCATTGCCAAGGCCAAGGCAGATTCATTTTCAAGTGCTAGCCTTGTGCCCTTTGGGCCAGCAAGGAGCTGGCTGTGCTGCACAGAATTCTTTCTCTAGGGAAGAAAACACCTTGCAGTGCTCAAAAGCAAAAGCAATTCCTTTCAGCAGTTAAATTGTTACATAAAGAAATGCAGACACGATGCCACAACCTTTTATCAGAAGGATGTTAGGCACCACAGAGAACTTGAGAATAAGAAGGATGTAAAAGTAGAGTGAAAGGAATAATGTTCAGAGCTGACTATGTGACACAGTTTAGGGAACCTCTCTCTCTCTCTCTGCCCAACTTGCAATGCAGTTTGCAAGTTCCAGTTGTGCGTTACGCAATGGGTGAATCCTCTGGTTTAGGACTGTTAACTGTTTGGGGAAGGCGTAGTTGGCAGAGATTTGCTAAATATGGATGAGCATGGAAACACAAGCAGTTGTGTCAGCACCACCAGGATGGCAGGATTTTTGCAGCATGGAGGTAGAAACAGTCATGTGAGGCCACAGGAGGACAAGAATTCATTTCTTAACCTGTTTCTGGTGCTGAAACCCACATACTGATGACTTCTGACCTGAAAAACTTAGGAAAAGCTCAGTAAGAAGACAAAGGAAGCTGAATCAGGAGAACATAGCATACGGCAATTTTGGAACTGTTTAGGAATGAAAAAAAATGGAAAAAAAAGGGTGATATATTCATATGTATGTGTGTGTACATATTCAGAATTATATCTGTGTGTGTCTATACACACATGCAGACTCTTCACATCCTAAGGAATCAATTTAGATAGATAGATAGATAGATAGATAGATAGATAGATAGATAGATAGATAGATAGATTTATAAAATGAACTCCACGTTTAGACTGCCTGTTTCTCTCTGTGAACAAGGAGCCTCAGCTGTGGACATTTACAACGTAGACATCTGAATATAAGTCAGATGATTTCCAGAGAACAAGTTTTTCAGGCAAGGCAAATGACAACCTTCTCTTTTAGAAGACAGCAATGGGAGAAAATAGTAGAAGAGAAGTACAGGCTATTTTTTATAGAGCACACTGCAACAAAGTCAGGTAACCAGCAAGTAATGCAGGGAAGAATTTTAAAGGGGAAAATGAATAAGGAAAGGCTAATGTATACAGCAGCGTCTAAACCAGATGACATTGCAGGCACGATATCTGGAGGAAATACAAGTCAATAACGGACAAATACGGCTGCACCAAAAATCCTGTGAAGACCTGAAAACCAAAAAAGGACTCATACAGAAGTGGAGACACTGACACTTCCAACAGAAAACAAAAATTAAGGGACAAACCCAAAAGACCCACAGGCAAAGTGAGACACAATTATTCAGGGACTGAAACAAAAATAAATGTTTCATATGCTGCAAGTCAGAGAGGAAAATGTAGGCCTATTACTCAATGTGGAAAGAAAACTTATAACAGATGGCACAGAAAAGACTGAAGTGTCTGATGCCTTTTTTGCTTCAGTTTTCATAAAAAGGTTGCAAGCAGATGCCTGGCAGTAATATTAACAAGGAGGTAGAAACAGTAGGCTTAACATGTCTAGAATAAGTTTGAGGAGACAGAGTTAACAGTCCCTGAGGACACGTACCTCATACTACTCTATGAATTGGCAAAAACGACCTCTGAACTATTTATAATTGTATTTGAAAATTCAGGGAGGACAGGCTAGGTGCCAGGAGAGTAGAGAAGGACAAAGATAGTATCTAGATTTGAAAAACGAAGAAAAAGAAAATTGTAATAGAGATCATTCAGCCAAATTTCAGTGTCCAAAGAATACAATATCAAATTATTAAACAATCAGTTTACAAGCAACAAGGGATAAGAAATAGCCGTTATATATTTGTCAAGAATAAATCACGTAAAGACAATCTAATCCTTTCTGTGATAGGGTAACTGACTTAATGTATAGGCATGTGAGATGCAAGTTGACTTTGAGATATGTTTTGGCTTTAATAAGTCTCTTCACATATCCCTACTTGAATACTCATGAGCAAGTCAGGGAAATATAATCTACATGGAAATAATATGAAATAGTGCCTGACTGGTTGAAAACTATGCTTAATGTATTATTATCAATAATATGCTGTCAAACTGGAAGGACACATAAATTAGCATCCTACTCTGATACTGTCACAAAGAAGGGATTAAAACCCAACAGTGCTATATGCAAGATATATAAAATAATTACTGAGATTTATTTGATGGTGGTAGCTTTATTTGATGGTGGTATGACCTCAGCTGAAGTACCTCATTCAGGCTGGGAGATGGCACTTCAAAATGGCATAAATAAATGAGAGAAATTCATAGATGTGTGACAAAATCATACAAGTTTTCAGACAAAAAGAAGTTTAAAATTTTTACTTTGTCATTAAAAAAAATGAAAGGGATATGGAATGTGAGAAAATTCAAGAAATTAAATTGCTATAAAAGGGTGGTTATTCGGTCCCACTGAATGTAGGACAACATGTAGCTGGATTGATTTGCTGTAATGGATATTTAGAACTCAGAAACCCATTTTTAAGGATACTCCAGTGCTGGAACAAGTTACCTCTGAAAGTTGTGAAACCCCCTCAGTATTGGTATTTACACGGAACAAGAAAAAATATGTCAATATAACTGATTCAGTCATACAGTGGGCAGATGGATAACATCACCTTCGAGGTCCCCTGCTGACCTAAATTTCTGAGATTCTCACCCTGCAGAATCCCCTCATAGATGGATTTTAAGTATCTGTGCAGTAATTGGAGAAGTGTCCAGCAGAGGGAGCAGGACAATTACATATATTTTAATTTAACAACAACTAAAAGAGTCACCCTGTTTAAGGACCCCTGTGTAGTAATTCTTATAACTCAAAACAGCTTTTGTAATTAAGATATTAATATATGGAACTTGGAGTTTTTAAGAAGAAATAAAATAGAGTCTCTTTTACATGACACTCCAGCACACCTGCAGTTAACCAGAGCTTGTAAATCAAATTTAGTCTGTGTGTAATAAGTACAATTTACTGTGTATTGAACTTAGCCTGAAACCTTTATTTCGGTTTCATATGTATGGAGCACTGTAGTCCCTAATTTTGACTGATACAAATACATCTTCAATATAAAGCTTAATTCATTCACAGAAACAATAAATGCTTTTATAATTCCAGACATTCCTCTCTTCAGGCTTACATTTTTTTCTTAAGACTTTTGTTACTTAAAATCAATACCGTTGCATCTGTAACATCTGTGGTGCAAAAGTAGCTTCTGCTTACCAAAAATTATAGCTTCATTTTGCTATTCTGCTATAAATAAATAAAGATTGACTTTATATAATAGAGTTCTCACACCAGAATCTTCCCTCTGTTACTTAATACAATTTCTACTCACCCTAGCCTGCATAGTTCAAAGGCAGTTAGTTCATCGCTTGCACAGACCATAACAGCCCAACAGGCATTTCTTCTGACTTCTTCATTCTTAGAACGCAGTAATTCAACGAGTGGTCCCAGTCCACCTGCATTTCTCAACTATAACAAAATGAAGACATTGCCACTTACATATTTCATCTATCCCAGCAAGAACAGCCGGTGAAATTCACCTTCTGAAATATTCAAGCCTTGTAGACAAGCTATGCTGGGCTGGTAGAAAGGCCATTTATGGGGATTCTGTGTTGCTGTGAACGCTGCATAGGCTGGAGCCGCAGCAAGCTTCACAGTGGTACAAGGCACAGATCCCTTCTGGCTCTGCCTTGCTTTACAGTTATTAGATTGCGGTGTGGAAACTGAAGAGACTATGCAACCCAAGACTGCCACAGAGAGTTACACAGCTTTTTCTGTGTTCTCTTGCCTCCTAGCAACTAATTTACATCACAATATATTTGAATTTGTATTGTATTGTGTGTATGACAATCTTATTAACATCCTATTCTCTTGTGTGCTACAGTATCTTTCCTATACATGCTGGAGGAAATATTGCTCATTTGGATTTTTGAAGAGAAAGACATTTTAAGGACGCTGAAAGAGGTAGAATAATTATCTATGTCCCTTATTCATGTCCTAATTAACAGCCTTGACCCATGAGAAAACCCCAGCTTATGATCTATGAATGCACATAGCATCATCCTTATTTATGAAAAGAAAATAGTATGACCATTGATCAACAGCAAAATGTTCAACTTGCTGGATGCCATTGATCAAGGGATTAATTATATTTTGAGTTTTCTCTGAATTACATTTACTCCACGCACATCCAGTATCTTATTAATCAAGGTCAGATATTGCTGTTCAGGCCTTGAAAGTGGCAACAGAACAACACTGAGAGAGCATACAGAGGACAGAAATTCTCATCTTCAAAGGTCAGCTGACAGCTGCAACTGAAAAAAACCTTTAATGTCTAATGCTCATAAACATGGTGATTAAGGTATAGCTCTGGTTAAAGCTCACTGAAGCCACTGGAAAGCTGTATAAAACATTAATTTGGTGCAAGTGAATACAGCAGTAAAAATACAAATTAAAGAAAACCCTTTCCAAGTTCTCATGACAAACTGAGCTAAAGTCAGCTGAACAAGCCTATGATGAAAGTGAAAGATTAGTTACAATCTAGAAGCCCCCAGACTTTTTGGACAACAAAATACAAAGATTTTACATAATGCCAGCCTCAAGATACAGAAATGTTACAAATCATCACAACCTCAAAAAGTAGTTTTACCTCAGTTCTTGCATCAGCATCACAACCAAAGGTAGCCACAGCAAATGCTGCTTTGCTTTGTACTTGGCTGTTGGTCGAGCGCAATGGTTCTTCAAGCACACTCATAATACCACACCTTTGGATATTTACACGGAATGGCTGTTGCATGGCCAGATTTGTTAGCACTGTGGCAGCATTAGCAATGGCTCCATCTCTCTGAGAATTCAAGGTATTTACTAATGGCTCAATTCCTTCAGCCTCAGCAACAGCACTAACAAAATGAAGGAGAAAAAAAATCTTTGTTATTTTAGGACCATTTTTTCTTCTTATGTGCTGTATTTACCAATTAAATTAGTATTACATTTTTAAAAATTAAATTAGTATTACATTTTTTTAATATATATATATTTATAGATGTCATTTATGTATATGACTTGTGATGTGAAGTACAAGAGGCACAACCTAAGCAGACAAACCAAGTCACAAATTTCTAGATTCTTTCATCTTCAAGACATGGATTCTTTATGAAATTTCAAACAAGTGAATTAAATCTTGCGTATTTTCAAAGATGCAGAATTTTTGTATCTTTAGTTCCAGGCAAATGCCTCTGCAGACTCTTATCACTTCTCCCCATAATCATTCTAGCACTACTTCTGAGGAGGATTATAGTGCACAGAATATCACATTGTTGTTCTTTGTGCTGTCTGTAAATTTCTGTGATCAGATACCAAGGTGACACAAACATAATACACCAAGTTTCTGCCGTTCTTACAGGAGTAGGTGGACATGGTGCAGTTCAGTGCAATACAGAAATTACTGAGCTGGCTTTATACAAGCTGATTTAGATGGCAGAAGTACAGCAGACACAGCAGCACAGAGTTCAGGACTGGCTGAGACTTCATCACAGTTCCACATCAACTAGTCTATCAGTAGCAGATCCAGCTTAAATATTCCTTCTGCTCCCAGATATTGCAGCTGTGGCTGAAGGGTGCTGCCCATGTCAGCCCATGTCACCCACAAATGTGGGTGTGGCCAAGTTCTGAGCTAGACCTGCAAAACAACTTGTTTGCAGATAAAATTGGGGAAGATTGTTCGGCTATTTGAAGGATCGTTTCATAGATGTAGGTTAGAGGACAGCCAAAGAAAAAAACAGTTGAAGAAGTGCTACAGGTAGGAGAGAGCAGAAGGTGTAGGCAGCTGCACTTTTAGACACATTTGCAAATGACTTAAATCTGATGTGTTGCAAAACTAAGAGTCACATGGGCCTGCATCTTAGTCACAGCAGAAGAAACTGGCCTATGAGCACTTCATGTTACCACTTCTATTCTGCTTCCAGCACCCATCAGGACAGTGCCTTTTAAAAGAAAAAAAAACCCAGTCAACTTCATATTGAATGTCTTGGGTAAAGAATATATTTGAAAGCATCTGGTGACATGGTTTACGATGATGGTAAACTCCTGACTACAACTGATGCAGATCCTGAAGAGAGAACCTGGCCTGGCTGAGGGGAAACTATCATGCTCTAAATAATCTGAAAAGGCATGTTTCTGGGTTACCACTTGATTATGTATTCTTTTGTTTCTTTGCCATAGGCAAATGGAACTACTGATACAAATGTAGTTTACATTCTTCAAATGCCATAAGATAGTCCATAACTTAAGATTTTTGTTGACCTTGCTTTCTACTAAACGACAAGAACTTATTTCTTTGCCTATATCATGTTAGTTTTGTTTCAGTGGTATTTTTTCCAATGTTATTATAAGCCAGTACACTATAAAATTTGAATTGTCTTCGTTCTGAGTTTGTATATAAAATCTGATCAAATGATTTGAGGCATATGTCCAATTTACTATCTGCTCTTAGTAATTTTACATTGGGCTCATCTGTTTGTTAAACAAAAGTTGGCAATATTGTTAGCAATGGAAATGTGCAGATGGCAATTTGAATTTTCCTTGCAACTGCTTTTTATACTCTCTTTTAGTGCATTTTGTCTATACAAACTCTACCACCTCTATACAAGCATATCTAAGCCCTTCAACAACAGAAGAGTGTACATTTTTTATAAGTTCTGCTAAATTTCTGTCAACACATTAATAAGAGAAATCTGGATGCAAAAATCTTACTTTTACTGTAACAGCATCTTACCAAAATCTAACTAAACTTTTGTTAATTTTCACAGTTACAAAATAAACACAAGCTTAGAAGTATTACATATACAAGAAACAGCTATGCTATCAAAGACTGTCAAGGCATTGATAAAAACAAGAAACCTTAGGAATGCTGATAGTCGTGCTCTACACAAACAAGATAGAAAGCAGAATACATGCCAACCTATGCCATATAAACCCACCACATGGGCAACATGATGTAGATCTTACTGGGAACTCCTCTTAGTGCAAGTATCTCCAAACCAGATTTTCAGAGAGGGGGTTGCAGATACTCCTGAGCATAGCTGGAATGAATCCATAGAGGATAAGAGGGTTTATTAGCCTGATCTCTGCCTCAGCTACTAGGCAATGGCAGCTCTCAGGTAGTGCTGGAGCATGGGCATAAGGAAGGCTGGCAGGCAAGCAGTAGTTCCCAGTTCAGAAAACCAGAGAAAAGGCAGCAATCCAGGGACTGAAGGTGGGTAGGGTTATTAGCTTGGGTGCAGCATAAAGTATAGGGCCACTCTGGTGTTGGCTAATTAATCCTCCTGGAGCACCAGAAACTTTAAAGCAAGTACTTCAGTCTCTATTCAGAACTGAATCCCATGTTTTCAGATGTCCTGCACTGCACTGCTCAGACTGTCTTCAATTAGTTGGATTTCCCCTTATCTGGGCGTCTTCCCTCCCCTTCCCTCCTTGACCAGATAAAGAAGAGCTCAAAACATTTTGTTCGGGTTTGGGTTTTTTTGTTTTGGTTTTTGTTTGGGGGTTTTATGTTTGGTTTTGGTTTGGGATGTTTGTTTTTTTTTTTTACTTAGGTAAGGCCACTATTCCTAGGTTCTCTGGTTAATACTGTCTTCTCTTCCCCATGAAAATTTTATCCAGATTTCCAGCTTCAGGTGTGCTGTAGCTCTATCCAGGTTGTTGTATATGAAGAAATCCTGGACATGTTGATTGCACATGTCAGGATGAGCTATACACCATATGTATCACAGCTTTACTGGAAAACATCACATTCATAGCACATGTAACAATGACATGATGTACCTGCTGACAAAGTGTGGTAGAGACTCACCACAGATGCACACAGCCATGGAGTAAGGCACATCCATAAGCTATCAGATTTACAGCATTACACAGTATATACATACATGCCTTATCTGGGAAAAAAACCTACCCAAAATCAAAGAGTTTTCCCTGTAAAATGGATACACAGAAATTCCAGGATTTATGGATCCACTACTCATGAAATGCATCACTGCAACTCACAGGGAAATTATATCCAATACTTCTGCACTACGTATAGGACATACTATTTCTAGATTTCACCCAATAACACATGTATTCTACCATAGGAAATCCTAATAAATGTATAGTCCCTAACAGATTGATTCCAGGATGATACATGAAACTGAGTGACGTAGCCAATCACATTATAAGCAAATTTACTATAATTTCCATAAAACCAGCAAGTACACAAGTACTTAACAAAAGAGCAAGGTGACAGCTCCTTGTATGTTCAGAGCTGACCTCAGCGAGGTACAGAGCACAGCCAATTTTCTCAAGTGCCACTCAACTTCAAAAAGGTTGAGAACCACTGATTTAGAAGATCATACATATTTATTTCAATTCTGCATTCTACTTCCACACAGATTCATTCTGAATCACAGTTTCATGAGTATAGTTTAATCAAGTAACACAATGGATCACAAGGCAAAAAGAATTCATGTTAGAAGTGACAACAACAGGTAATGAGAGCTGAAGGTAACCAATACCTTTGAGAATAAGATTTTAAGAAGGCATGAACACCCGAGGGCAACGCTGTGTCCTGGTAACAGAGATGCATACAAGAAGAGGTTATGAGGGAAGAAGGAAGAATGGGGAATCCATAGTTCAACTCACTCCTACCCTCTGGAGAACACAGAAATTGCACTGTCACTCTGGGCCGTGGAGCCCCAGCTGCTAAAGAGACGGCAGTGCCTGACCTCAGAAGAGAACTGAAAGTATGAATATGCTTAAATTTTTAAGAGGCTGAAATACTTCAACATTAAGATCCAAGTATGGCGGACCTTGTTCCCTTCCATCTTGGGCAGGGATATGCACTGTGTAGTGTTTTATTACAAGGGAAGAAAAGTCAGAGGAAGAAGCACTGTCTCTGCTTAATGTAGATCAGCACCAGCCTCTCTCCTTGCCTCCAGAACACACTCTACTTCAGACACATCCTGCTAAGATGATGCACTTTATCAAGTGCTCCTACTACAGGACTACATCCTCAAGGAAGAAGGGAGCCTTGGTTTAGCTGAAAAAAAGTATACAGTTTTTGATGTGGAAAAGGAGTAAATTATATAAATCCACAGCTCTTTTCCTCCACATTGTGTAAAAATTCAAAATACATCAACTTCCCTAATCATGGAGAGAAAAGATTAGGGAAAAAGAAAGAAGGTAATGACAAGGGGCAAAAAAAGGATGTTGCATTTGCATCACCATGTTTTTTTGAAAAGTGAAAGCTAGCTGACTAAATCACAAGCAAACAAGAAAAACCAGACAAGATAGGTGTAGAAATTAAAAAGCTCAAATTAAAGGTAAAATAATTCAAATGTTATGATTTATAAGCACATGGTTATGATCATTAGAGTGCCTAACCTAACAGGATTAGGCATTTACCTTAACCAGGGTATACACGGTTCAAGTACGCTAATGACCTTACCCATGCCCTGTAGTGAAACAGTAAAATTCTGATTACAATTTAATTCAAATTACTGTATCCAAGAATAGCCAAAATATTTTTCTCAAGTGTCATTGGAAAAGCAGACATTAAAAGGCCAGAAAATAAATATTTAATATTTAATATTTAATATTAATTTTAAATATACATTGTAACAAGTTAAGAGATTTTCTTGAAAATTCTCTAAAAGATCACTCAAGGCTCAAAGAATAAATGCTGAGAATCTGAGAAAAACAAATGTTTACTGGTTTTACTGCAAAAATAAATTAAAAGTTGACGATAAAATCATTACCAAGTTTCACAGTACAAACTTTTTTTAAACAGTTACTTTGGAGATGCATATGAATTTCACCGAACTTAATATTTTGTTACTTTAGTTGTCTGAGGTACAATAGGAAA